CTGATGCACGCTCTATCTCAAATAAATAAGTAATTTAAAAAATAGATGTGAATTACCTACTTAAACATTTACCTATGATTAAAATTACATGTTCTTAAGTATTTAGCTTGCACAGTGAAGGCAATGTTGTTTTGGCGACTGGCATCAGATGTAGGGAGCTACAGAATGGCTGTTACTTTTACTTTTTGCAGGGAAATGTCAACCTCTAGGGAAGTGAGTAGATCTCTTTCTTCATGCTTAGATCTTTTATGGATTTTGCACAAATAAATATCCTTTTACCCCAATAGAACACTAACAACAACAACAACAAAAGAACAAAGTGGAAATTAAAATAAGAATTTGGAGGGGAACTAGTTACTGAATCAAATGGAATAGTATTTAGTACATGAAAGTTTACATTACTTGGGGGTAAATTTGGGGTCTACTCGAATGACCAACCATTTCTTGGCTTCTTCAACACTACCTTGCCCTCTGGCAGGCCAGCAGAACTCTCCAGCCAATAGTTCTAGTACTTCTCCCTTGGAAAGAAGACAACAGAGTCCCTGTACCCCCAAATCTAAGCTAGTTTCTATTGAGCTGTGGAGAGATATGAAGCTCCCAGCCCCAATTTCACCAAATACCCATGGGTTGGGACTTTAGTAGCTTATTAAAAATGAACTCTAGCTAAGAATTCATTGTTCATCCCACAGCTCTTATCCACAGATATTAAGATTCTTACTGTTTAAAAATGTTAATGTGTCATGTCTTAGCTTGCCACTTACTGGCATTGAAACAGTGCTGAATTTGCAATCATCCTCCAAAGCCCACATTATACACTGCATTATTTGTGTTGACAAAGGAATTTGGATTTCCCTTCAAACAGTTTTATCTACTAAGACAGGTGAAGGAGAGTTCTCCAGGACATGACATACTCTAAGAAACATAATTTCCATGTTTTTTTTTCTTTTGTAAAATGAGAGATAGAACTGCTGCCAGTGAGCATCTGAGTTTAAAAAGAGATGATTTTATGAATATTAAAATAATAGTAATTAGTATATAATTTTCTTTCTTACCTGACTATTATTTATTAAAATGATACTCATTCATGCTAAGGTTGGTAAAGAAGTTTCTAAGGGTCCTACCATTTATTTATAAATGATTCATATCAGAAGTAAGTACTATTTCAGGGTGCCTGGGTGGCTCAGTCATTAAGCGTCTGCCTTCGGCTCAGGTCATGATACCAGGGTCCTGGGATCAAGCCCCACATCGGGATCCCTGCTCTGTGGGAAGCCTGCTTCTCTCTCTACCAGTCCCTCTGCTTGTGTTCCCTCTCTTGCTATGTCTCTCTCTGTAAAATTAATAAATAAAATCTTTTTAAAAAAATACTATTTCATCAAGAATTTAGATTATCTTTTTAGTTTATTGATTTACTCAATTCACACTTAAAATTTTAAAGAAGAAAACCAAGGTTTGTTTGTTCTTTAAACAGCTCCTATTTATAGTAATCAAACATTTTATTAGTCATTAATCATAATAATTTATTTATTTTAAAATGTTTCACATCAGTTCAATATAGTTCAACAAATATTTATTGACTTCGTGTCTTTAACCTTTAGAGCTATTTTGTCTTATCAAGTAATATGACAACTCAGCGTGCTTGCTGAGTAAGCTTTGTTAAGACCTAACAAATTCTTAGCAAAAAAAAAAAAAATGGTGCTTAACTAGATGAATGTTTGAGAAATAATGTGCTGTACCATTTATGCATAAGAACCACACTATCAGCATCAACACTGGTAGTAAGTTTTGAGATTTGAGGATCCCTCCATAATTCCCCAACCTCAACACCCATGTGTGCACAGAGAGGCATGTGCGTGAGTGCACACACACACTCACACATGATGTGAAGTTCATGAGAAAATATCCTCCTTATTCAGATGCCTGTTGTGTTGATCAGGGATAGCCTTGTGGCCACAAACAAATTGCTTTAGTCTGATCAATTGTACTGACTGGTTCAAAAACTCTGAGGATAGTACAGTTTAAAGAAACTTGGATTGAGTGGCAACCTTCATGAAGACTTTCTCATGGTCCATCAGATTCCCTCTCAGGACCAAACTCCAAGCCTGGAGATCTGGACTGTAGTGATCCCTGTGGACTTCCTGTAAAAATGACAGCATTGGACCATTGGACTTTTAGAGTCATTTGATTTTATGATATTTGTATGTTTTATAATTAGTACATGATGTATTGCCTCTAGACAGTAATAGTAGCCATAAAGTTAAGAGATTGTCAATTGGGGTCAAACGGATCTGGGTGTAAATTCCAACTCTGCCCATTACTAACTGTGTATTTGAATTGGTGTGTCATTTCACCTCTTGGGCTGCAGTTTCTATATTTATAAAATGGGATAGTGATCCCCATCTGTCCACTTTTTTTCTGAGGATTAAATGAGGTAATGTGTGGAAGTGCTTAGCTCACTAACCAGTCATGGCTAGTAGTGTGAAATGACTTGGAATCCACATCTAGAAAAATACAAAAATATGCAGAACCTTCTCTGCCTCTGGTTTTTTGTTTGTTTGTTTGTTTTTTTATTTTTTCGTCATATGCCTCCCATTGTTGTCTGAAGTTCCATGTGTAAAACAGGTGTCAAACGAGAGAACACTTACAATTTTATCTTTAAATTTTAAAACTTAAGTAAAATTGAAATAAAATTTTAATTTACATACAATTTAAACCATTTTTAAATTCAAATAAATCAATTTGTTGCAGGTAACGATGATAGGCACGGTCATACAGCTACTTTGCAGGAAATAAAAACTGTGACGGACCAAGTGAAGCAAAATGAAGAAAGCACTTCACCTCCTCAGCCGGCTAGGAGGACCGAGGCATCACGGCCATCGGCAACAAGGATGCAGAACCCCGCTCCAGTGCTGGCGAGACCCCAAGAGCCCTCCTTTCACTCGGGAGTCCTGGGAAATATGTCCCAGCAGGACGACCGTGCCCAGATCTTCCTGTGGAGCTTTGTGCTGTGGTCTGACACCATAGAAATGGTGCGCGTGGCTGGCCACTCCGCCGTGTATAAGTCAGGCTGGCTATACCCAGTCTACATATTCAGTTTTATTTCTCTCCTTCGAATTATATTAACTCCTCAGAACCCTCTTCTGAATTCCCTGGACATCCTTCTCCAGGATTTACCCTTTATTTTTGTTAGACTTAGTTTAGTCATTGCCCTGGGAACTATCACACCTGTACTGGGCCTTTGTAAAAACATACTGGTGACTCTCTCTTATGTGTACTTCAATCACATAACCAAATTCAGGGCTTTCTCTACTTTTGAAACGTCTTCATTTTAAAGAGAAAATGTAATATAGTCAAACCTCTGCATTATGCATGTGTACACATTTGTAATTTTTTTTTTCTGGGCATAAGTTTTTGTACTGTGTAAAGAAATGAATACATTGTAGAGAATACACTATTTTTAATAACTGTAGCATATCACTTTTAAAAAAATATATTCAAATGATGTTAAATTTAAGCAAAGTTTTATTCTGATGTTAACTCCCCTGTATCTCTAGAAAATGTTAGTCATTTTAGTTATGTATACCACACTTTTTCTCAAAACACTCTTCATTAAAGCTTTAAAAAAATTAGAACGTGTTTTCCCACTAAGTTAGCCCAAGAATGAGATTCTTATCATTTATATAAATTAAAGAGCATTACAAGACTTAGTGAGAACTGTTTTTTTAGAAAATACACCTCAAGTTCTTGAATAATTTTTAGATTATACTTTTTAACAATTTGAATTGTAGTTTTAGGGTCTTCTTCACACATGGGATTATGTTCTTTAATACACTGTGGCAAGTGACTTTTATGTAATCGACGAATTTCAGCATAAACAGCAATTCAGTTTAACAGATGTTTGGTTCAGTTTGAGGCACAGTTCTTTCACTAGTACTGAAGTATTAATGTAAATACTGTTTAGTAGAATGAAGTCTAGGTACATCAGTAATACCTAAAGTTTTATAATAGGAAGAAGCCATACACTGAAGATGTGGATTTCAAAGAATATTTTGTTTGTGGAATTTCAGACCATCCTAAAAACAGTTGCACACCCTGTTTAGAATTAGACATTCAGCTTATGAACATAGCAGCAAATGCTTAGTGTTTTATGTGATAATATGTAATGAATATCTTGATATTAAGTGATTAGATACATAATTGTGAAATTTGCTTTCACTATATTGGGACACTCTTGGATATTCAGCTGCTAGAAAAATTTGGGAGGCTTATGTGTGCAGAGTAATGTGTTAAACTAGCAAGTCTCTTCAGTGATCTGTGGCAACAAATAGCTTAAGGATAGATAACTTAACTGCCACCCCTACTCTCCACCAAATTCCCCAGTCTCAGTGGCCCCCTGTGCTTTATGGTTTTTCCTCACACTATAAAAAAAGATCTATTCACAGTTATTAAAAGCTTAGCTTCTAGCTTTATGACTTGGGGCAAGTTCTTTGACCACCGTAAGCCCTAGTTTCCACATCTAAAACATGAGACTAATAACAGTACCTTAGTAGGTTAGAATTGTACTTTAAGAAAATTGAGAGGATTATATGAGATAGGAAATGCTCTCATGACATTGTCTGGCAAACAATAATAACCCGATAAATTCTCAATATTTCAAATATACCAAATCCCAGAGAAACAAGTAGCTAAATGCATTGTTTTAATTTTCCTGTCTCATTCTTTGCTGCATCCCTGTTTACTGTCTGGGAATAAAAATTTTAACCATGCATTTGTGAAAAATAATATGTAAAGTCTTAAGATTACCTCAGATTATAATTTTTCACCAAGTAGTATTAGGTTCAAAATGAGCAAATATACAGATTAAAGTTGTTGTGGCTATTGATTCATCAGGCATTTGACTGTCCCTCCTGAGTTTTCATAGAGCCTAATTGTAGCACTCTGTTAAGACTTTCATTATGGATTGGCTTTATTGAGTTCCCCATTAATGTTTAAGTCCTTAATCTTGTTTAACAATGTATCTCTCACCTCATCTGTCAATCCAACAGGAACTTCTAATACTTCTAACTCTTAAAAAATGAGAATTGAAATCATTTCTTTCAAATAATGCTATGATAATCTTTTTTAATTAAGGAAAACCTATGATGAGGTAGTTGATTTGTAATATTCTTATTTATGAAGTATTTTACATACATTTATATTTATCTTTATGTTGGAATTTGTAGAGTGAACAGTGCTCAAACTCTAAATATTACTGAGTTTAGAATGCATTTTGTGTCTAATATTTGAATATGGATGTACCTGATATATTGGGAAGTCATAACACTTTATCCAAATAGTAAAGTCATGTACATGTAGGAGGAAAATTATTGAGTAACTAATTTAATTTAGTATTTTATTTCAAGAGTATACACATGTTTATAAAGTTCAAGTCTATGTTTTTTTATATTTAATGCTTTTCAGTATTTTGTTTAATTAAAAATTTTTTAATTGAAGAATAGTTGACATACAATATTAATTTTAGGTGTATAACATAGTAATTTGTTTACATACATTACAAAATGATCACAATAATGAGTCTAGTTACCATCTGTCATCATACACAGTATTTACAATATTATTGCCTACACTCCCTATGCTGTACTTTATATCCCCGTGACTTATTTATTTTATAACTGGAAAATTACACCTCTTAATCCTCTTCACCTATTTCACCCATCCACCCCCACCCTTCCCCTCTGGCAATTACCAATTTGTTCTCTGTATCTAAGAGTCTATTTCTGTTTTGTTTTGTTTGTTCATTTGTTTTGTTTTTTAGATTCCACATATAAATGAAATCATATGGTATTTGTCCTTCTCTGTCTGACTTATTTCACTTAGCATCATACCATCAAGAACCATCCATGTTGTTACAGATGGCAAGATTTCATTTTTTTAATGGCTGAGTAATATTCCATTGTATATATATCACATTTTTAAATTTATTCATGTGTTGATGGATACTTAGGCTGCTTCTGTATCTTGGTTATTGTGAACAGTGCTGTAATGAACATAGGGGTGCACATATCTTTTTGAATCAGTGTTTTCATTTTCTTCTGATAAATACCCAGAGGTGGAATCACTGGATTGTATGGTAGTCCTATTTTTAATTTTTTGAGGTATCTCCATACTGTTTTCCATAATGGCTGAACAATATTACATACATTCCCACCAACAGCTGTAGGTTCCCATTTCTCCACATTCTTACCAACACTTATTATTTCTTGTCCTTTGGATACTAGCCATTCTGATTGGTGTGAGGTGATATTGTAGTTTTGATTTGCATTTCCCTGGTTATTAGTGATGTTGAGCATCTTTTCATGTGTCTGTTGGCCATCTGTATGTCTTCTTTGGAAGATGCCTCTTCACCTCCCTCCTCTATTTTTTAATTAAATTGTGTTTGTTTGTTTTTTTTTTTTGGTGTTGACTTGTATTAGTTCTTTATATATTTTGGATATTAACCCCTTATCAGACATATCATTGGCAAATATATTCTCCCATTCGGTAAGTTGCCTTTTCATTTTGTTGATGGCTTTCTGCAAAAGCTTTTTCATTTGATGTAGTCCCATTTGTTTAGTTTTGCTTCTGTTGCCCTTGCCTCAGGAGATAGAAAAAAAATACTGCTAAGACCTATGTCTAAGAGTTTACTGCCTATGTTTTCTTTTAGGAATTTTATGGTTTCAGGTCTTAAATTTATGTCTTTAATTAATTTTGACTTTATTTTTGTATATGGGTTGAAAAAGTGGTCCAGTTTCATTCTTTTCCATGTAGCTGTCCAGTTTTCCCAACATCATTTATTGAAGAACCTGTCTTTTTCCTCATCATATAGTCTTGCCTCCTTTGTCATAGATAAATTGACCATATAATTGTAGGCTTTTTTCTGGGCTTTCTATTTTATTCTATTGATTTGTGTGTCCATTTTGTGTGTGTATGCATGTGTGTGTGTGTGTGTGTGTGTGAGTGAGTACTATGCTGTTTTGATTATTAAAGCTTTGTAGTATATTCTAAAGTCAAGAAGCATGAACCTCCAACTTTGTTCTTTTTCAAGATCGCTTTGGTTATTCAGGGCCTTTTTTGCTTCCACACGAATTTTAGGACTATTTGTTCTATTTCTATGAAAAATGCCATTGGTATTTTGATAGGATTACACTGATCCTATAGATTGCTTTGGGTAGTATCGATATCTTAACAATATTACTTGTTCCAATTCAGAAGCATGACATATCTTTCTATTTATTTGTGTCATCTTCAATTACTTTCATCAACATCTTATATTTTTCACAGTACAAGTCTTTCACTTCCTTGGTTAAATAGGTATTTTAAAATACTTATTCCTGGGTACCTTATTCTTTTTGGTGCAACTGTAAATGGGAATGTTTTCTTAATTTCTCTTTCTGATAATTCATTATTAGTGTACAGAGATGCAACAGATCTGTGTATATTAATTTTGTATCCTGCAACTTTACTGAATTCATTTATTAGTTCTAGCAATTTTTTGGTAGAGTCTTTAGCCTTTTCTGTATGTGTAATTATGTCACCTGAAAATAGTGACAGTTATACTTCTTACTAGTTTGAATGCCTTTTATTTCCTTTTCTTGTCTTATTGCTGTGGCTAGGACTTCTAGTGCTATGTTGAATACAAGTTCCAAAAGTGGGCCTCCTTGTCTTGTTCCTGATCTTAGAGGACAAGTTCGCAACTTTTCACTATAGAGTATGATGTTAGCTGTGGGTTTGTCATATATGGCCTTTATTATGTTGAGATATGTTCTCCTATACCCACTTTGTTGAGTTTTTACTCATAAGTGGATGTTGAATTTTGTCAAATGCCTTTTCTGCATTTATTGAGATGATATGATTTTTATTTTCATTTTGCTAATATGGTGTATCATGTTGATTGACTTGCAGATATTGAGCCATCCTTGCATCTTGGGAAAAATCCCACCTGATCATGGTATAAGATCCTTTTAATTTATTGTTGAATTCAATGTACTAATACTTTGTTGAGGATTTTTGCATCTACATTCATTAGGAATATTTGGCCTGTAATTTTTTTTTACTATCTCTGTCTAGTTTTGATATCAGGATAATGCTGGACTCTTGAATTTGGAAGCACTCCTTTCTCTTCAATTTTTTGGAGCAGTTTCAGGAAGATAGACGTCAATTCCTCTTTTAATGTTCAATAGAATTCACCTATGACGCCATCTGGTCCTGGATTTTGGTTTGTTGGGAGTTTTTTGATTATTAATTCAATTTCCTTATTAGTACTCAGTCTGTTTCAAATTTTCTAGTCCCTTTGGATTCAGTCTTGGAAGATTGTAAGATTGTATATTTCTAGGAACTTATCCATTTTCTTTGTGTTGTCCAATTTGTTGTACAATAATTGCTCATGTTTTTCTCTTATAATCTTTTGTATTTCTGTGGTGTCGTAACTTCTCTTTCTGATTTTATTTGAGTCGTCTTTTTTTTCTTTATGAGTCTGGCTAAATGTTTATCAATTTTATTTATCTTTTCAAAGAACCAGCTCTTAGTTTCATTGATCTTTTCTATTGTTATTTAGTCTCTGTTTCATTTATTGTTGCTCTTGTCTTTATTATTTCCTTCTTTCTGCTAACTTTGGCTTTTTTGTTCTTTTTTTTAAAATTTTTAAAAATATTTTATTTATTTATTTATTTGTGAGAGAGAGAGAGAAAGAAAGAAACAGCATGAGAGGGGAGAAGGTCAGAAGGAGAAGCAGGCTCCCCACCGAGCCGGGATCCCAATGCAGGACTTGATCCCAGGACTCCGGGATCATGACCCGAGCCGAAGGCAGTCGCTTAACCAACTGAGCCACCCAGGTGCCCCTTTTTTGTTCTTCTTTTTCCATTTCCTTTAGATGTAAGGTTAGATTGTTTATTTGAGACTTTTGAGGTAGGCCCATATCATTGTAAACTTCCCTCTTAGAACTGCTTTTGGTGTATCCCATAGATTTTGGTATATTTTATTTTCATTTTCATTTGTTTCAAGGTATTTTTTTTATTTTCTCCTTGACTTCTTAATTGACTCATTGGTTGTTTATAGTAGCATGTTGTTTAGCCGGATGTGTTTGTGTTTTGCTAGTTTTTTTTCTTGTAATTGATCTCTAGTTCCATACCATTGTGGTCACAAAAGATGCTGATATGATTATAATCTTTTTAAATGTATTGGGACTTGTGTTGTGGCCTAACATGTGATCTATCCTGGAGAATGTTCCATATGTACCTAAAGAGAATGTGTATTCTGATATTTTTGGATTGGATGTTCTGTATATATCTGGTAAGTACATCTGGTCTAATATGTCATTTAAGGCCACTGTTTTCTTAATGATTTTTTTGTCTGGATGAACTATTCACTGATGTAAATGGGGTGTTAAATTTTTCTACTATTGTATTACTGTCTCCCTTTGATCTATTACCATTTGCTTTTATATATTTTGGTGCTCCTACTAGGTAGTATACATATTTATAAGTGTTATATATCCATATTTGGCTGATCCCTTTATCATTATGTAAATGCCCATCTTTGTCTCCTGATACACTCTTTGTTTTGAAGTCTATTTTGTCTGATATAAGTATTGCTACCCCAGCTTTCTTTTGGTTTCATTTGTGTGGAATATCTTTTTCTATCCCTTCACTTTCAGTCTGTGTGTGTCTGTTGGTCTGAAGTGAGTCTCTTGTAGATATCTGTATTTATTTATTTGTTTGTTTATTTATTTATAAGTAGACTCTATGCCCAGCATGGAGTCCAGTGTGGGGTTTGAACTCACAACCCTGAGATCAAGACCTGAGCTGAGATCAAGAGTCAGACAGCTTAACTGACTGAGCCACTCAGGCTCCCTGGTCTTTTTTTTTTTTTCCCCTTGTTCAGTCACCCTATGTCTTTTGATTGGAATATTTAGTCCATTTACCTTAAAGTAATTATTGATATATATGTACTTATCGCCATTTTCAAAATTGTTTCTGGTTGTTTTTATAGTTATTCTCCATTTGTTCTTAATCTTTTCTCTTAGTTTTGATGATTTTCTATAGTATTATGTTTGAAATTTTTTCTCTTTGTTTTTTGGTATCTGTTGTAGGGTTTTGGTTTGTTGTTACCATGAGATTTATATTTAGCACCCTTTGTATATACAGGTCTGTTTAAGTTGATGGACACAAGTTGGAACATGTTCTAAAAGAGCTGCATTTTTACGCCTTCCCCAATGTTTTATGTATTTGATACCATATTTTACATCTTTTTATTTTGTGTATCCCTTAACTAATTATTGTAAATATAATTGGTTTTACTACTTTTGGTCTTTTAACATTCATACCAGCTTTATAAGTGGTTTATCTACTACCTTAACTATGTGTTTGCTTTTACCAGTAAGATTTTTCCTTTCATAATTTTCTTACTTCTAGTTATGGCCTTTTCTTTTCCACCTAAAGAAT